CTTCCAATATAATCATTTGGTTGATAGCTGGAGGAGAGGCTTTTAATTAAACCCAGGTACGACCCGTTTGGCTCAATGGTAATTTATGCTCCTCCGGTCCTTATTATAAGACCCAATTTGACTTTTTATTTGGTCCTAATTATAAGACCCAATCCATTTTGTCTCTTATATTTATGCATTTTTTCCAAGATAATCCTTCTAATAATGATAGTTTTAGCCAATATACTTAATTAGCAAGGATATTTTAGGAATGACAACACTTATTTATTATAAATAACCAACTTAACTTACTTCCTTAATCTCCTCAAATAAGTCAATTGGGTCTTATAATTAGGACCGGAGGAGTAAAATATGAGATAAGTATATGAGGAAAGTTTTGTTTCGACTTATATAAAACGTGTTAATAAATGATTTATATCATGCCAAACAGAGCCTTTAATTAAACTCTAGTCGAATTATAAAATTTTCTTATGAAATGGAACCAAACGTCTTATGAAATACAACCATAAAAGTATAATAAAAAAAGATGAAGATAAGAAAATGAGAGAAGTATTGTATTTCTTCGCTCACACCACTACACAAATGACATGTCTTATTTATAAGTATAGTCTTACACATAGGTTATACTTATCTTTAAATAACAAACAATGGATAATTAATCTCATGAAGGTGAGTATACGTGAGTTACGAGATTAAATAAAATAGTGGAGGAGTAATAGATAGTAAAGATAGTAAAAGTTACTTGATAAAATTGAAAAGAAAAGGATAAATAAACATCAACGTAATATTCGTAATAAATTCGAACTTAACCATGGTAAACTCTGCTTGAATCTTGAACGGAACATCATCAACACGGAGACATTTAAAACGTTGTCGTTTCGTATCTACGTATTTGAGCTTAAAGGTACATGTTTGCGGAACCATGACTTCATAGATGATCCAACGAGCAAGCACGCACATGTCAAAGACAAAAGTTGAATTTATATGTAAACCAGTTTTAACGTTTTATAAAAATGGATAATAAACAAATATACATTTAATTTGTGCGTGTGACATTACTGGATTCAGTCAAATAAAACAGAAATAACGATGGAGTTGCAAGATGATAAGTCACGGGATCGACCCCAAAAAAAGAGTAATTTAAATGATCTCAACACATATAATTAATTTAACGCTAAAGTATACTTTTTGTCATCTAACTTTATATAGGATTTTAATTTAGCTTATTAACTTTAAAATGTATACTTTTAGTTTTTTAATTATAAAATCGTTAACAAAAAATGATGATATTAATATTTTAAGCATTGATAAAATATTTTCAAATACTAACATATGGAATTTAATTTTTAAAATATTTATGATTATTGTAAAAAAATTATCATTTAAGACTAACAATTTTAAGATTAAAAGGCTAAAAATATGTTTTTTAAAGTTAAAGAACCAAACTAAAATATTATGTAAAGATAAAAAACCAAATATATACTTCAGCTTATAATTAATTAATCAGCATCTTCAATTTCAAAATAGAGTACGCACTAATAATTAGGCACATTAATAATTTAAATTATCTCAAGATAATAATTAGTCAGTCGGCATCTTCAATTTCAAAATATGTAGCAATAATCAGGTACAATAAACGTTCGATTAGTGGCTGACGAGCATGTACTTGTCAGATATTTTATGCTCAAAACTTTAGGACCAAGTTTTGTCTTCCTTTTTTTTATTTTTTGGTCCAACTTCAAGAGCAAGTCTAAGTGTAACCAACTCAACCCATCAAATTGTCCTATTTCTACATTCCGTGGGTTGTTTGGATTTTTGAAATGTGAAGCGCGTATGTGACACTTAAGTCCAAAAAAAAAAAAAACAGAGAGGATATATAAAATTGAAAAAAATGACACAAACAGGGAGAAATTTTTTCATTTTTGGGAATAGTATAATAATTCTTCCTAAAAATTACATAATGATGACTATTACTACAAACGTATGAAAATCACATTATAATTGATTACCGCAAATCAAATCAAACCAAGCCAAATGAAACATGACACGATAGGGAGCAGAAACCCAAAAAAAAAAAAATGGTGAAGCAATTAATGTAGAATAATAAATGGGAACCAAAGTCACCAACAAATCATAAAAGCTCACCTAAAAGGAAGGGGAGAAAAAAACATAGAAATAGAATGTTGATGTTGAAAAATTGTTTAATTTCAATAATCTATAATCTAGAGAGAGAGGAAGGGATCTTATCCAGAAAGAGGTCCCAGTGAGGCATTGTCTTGCGTCACATAGGAGCATACATGTATGGGCACTAAATTCCCTCACAGGAGTAGAATAAACAGATAAGGTTCATGTGGGTACTAAATTTTCACTGAGAATGTTAGTACAATACTGCTTTATATAGATTTTGGCAGTATTTGACTGTGAAAGAGTTTGAGCTTCTAAAACATGAAGCTAGCTGTCTGTAGCTTCAACACTAGTAATTTAATCAACATAATACATTAATTTTTGAATTAAATCTAACACACAACCCAGCACTTATATAAAGAGCTTACACGCTATCAAATTATAAGGCTGTTAGCTCCCAAACATAGTATTCCAATCACAAATAAATAACTTGTAATTTTTAAAAACAGGGCATGTCCAAAGTGTTAATTAAAAATTCATTTAAAAAATGAACAATGGAAAGAAAGAGGTCAAGCAATGGGCAAGCTATGTGCCAACTTTGTTTTAAAAAGGGTGATTGGTCAGGTAGATATGATTTTTTCAAAATAAGCTGTTAAAATAGAAACACAAATAAAATCTTAAAATAGAGACCTCTACCACTAGCCATAGTGCTCACTTATAGAGGTGTTCAAGGCCGGCTCGTCCCGGTCGGCCCGTTCCGGTCCCGGTCTTATTGGAACGGGACGGAACAAACCGGGACGGGACAAAAAAGGGATCAGGACGGGATGGGACACGGGACGGGGTTGTCCCATCCCGGTTCTTTTTTTTAATTTTTTTAATTTTTTATATAATATCATTTTTTTAATATTTTTTTAAGATTTGAGACTATTGTATGGGACTATGGATATATTTATTTAGAGTTTTTATATTTGTTAATAATTTGAGATTATTGATGATTAGAATTTTTAGCAAGTTTTTATTGTGTTAAAAGCTTTTGTTTAGAATTTTTAATGACTATTATATGTAATATTTTGAGCTTTTGTTTAAGAGTGCCCAAACAAATAAAAAAGATGTTTTTATAAGATTTAAGCTCAAAAAAATATAATTAAAAAAATCAGATTTTTTAAAAAAAATTTTAAAAAAATTTTAAAAAAATAAATAAAAATAATTTCGGGACGCCCCGGTCCCGTCCCGACCGGGACCGGGACAGGCCGGGACACGGGACAGAAAATCTGTCCCGTTACTGTTCTTCGGGACGGAACCGGGATGGGCCTGTTCCGGTCCCGATCTGTCCCGTGAACACCCCTACTCACTTATTTATGAACGGCAAGACTCTTGTTGGGCGTTGCCAAGTTTGTCAAGTACTCCAAGTAAACTGACATCAAATTAACTTCTTTTTATTTTCATTATAATTTATTTGTATATAAAAAAATTACTACCATTGTAGTTATTCTCTTGTGTACTTTCACCCTTATAATACTACCTCCAGTCCTAATTATAAGAATTAGTTGACTAATTTGAAGAGATTAAGAAAAGAAATTAAATTAGTTATTTATAATAAATATATATTGTCTTTCTTAAAATATCCTTACTAATAAAGTATATTGGTTAAAACTATCATTGTTAGAAAGATTATTTTAGAAAAAATATATAAATATAAGAGGTAAAATAAATTAAAATCTTATATTTAAGATTAAAATAAAAGTCACACAAGGTCTTATAGTAGTTAAAAGGATGTTTGTACCTAAAAGCATTTCAACACAATGAAATTATTAGATTACATGAAAATTAATTCATTAATCAGTTAAATGATGAATTTTATAAATTGTTTAAATGTTGGCAACGTAATTTTGTTGTTCATATTAACATTTTTTAAATAATGATTTTCGACCCAAACAAAATTTTGTCTACAGTAGAAGGCGGAACAAGAAGGGCCTTCCGGGTCCCGAAGGGCCGTTTCTTCCATACGTAGTATGCATTAGCATGTATTCCGCGTCACACGGAACCTTCAGTGAGTATTCAAACATGGAGCAGTGGCATCAGTTTTTGATATGGACTGAAAAATAATGTTTAACAGCCTGTCCTTCTCAATTATTTAGATTCCTCTAAAATTAAGTTTGCTCAGTGCATTGATATTATAATATCTTCCGCCCTAAGAAAAGTATATACTATTACATCTTAGATGTTTTTTTTTGGACCAGCACTTAGATGTTGTTTTTAGATAACTAGGTAATCAATTTCTCATATTACTTATAATTATAATATTCTAAAAAAGTTTAAATGTTCTCACTAAATCATTGCCATTACTGTCTATCACAAAGTTTTACTCATATTTATACAGTATTTTGCCTTTTGAACCATTATCATTTTCTATGTCATGGGTCACAAAATGTCTGCATCACGTTCCACTGGAATTTTTTTAGCTGTTCCTCACCATCCCAAGTCACTCCGTCATGGAAGGCAGCTAATCAATCTATTATTCTAGGTCAAACTTTCAATTATGCCCATTTATTCCCCTTTTCATCCTCCCAAAGAAATCTGCAAAACAAACAGAATTCACAAATATCAATAACAGAAGATATATAATGACTGGAACCAAAAAAAATGCCAGCAAAAAGGAAGAAGCACAATTAGCCCCCACTCTAAAGTCTAAATAATACCGAACTATTGAAAGGGGGAAAGTAACTCACCAGTGAACAAACGGGGAAGGTCGACGAGAAACACACAGATGGTAATGAAAAGCCATACATGAACGACTACTCATCCGAACGGTAACCCCAGAAAGAAGGCATCGGAGATTGGAAATAACCGAATCTGGGAGGAAATGGACCGCTAAATTTGACATGGAAAGGAAATGGTGTCAATTCCCGGCGAACAGGACAATAAACACACGGATTGTTCGGGTAATGAGAAGAATCAAATTGAAGTTAGGATGGATTTATATTTTGGTTAAAATCGGTGTTATATGTTAATTGATATTTCGTTGAAATTAAGTCCAGAAGCACCCAGAATTGCCATATTGGCAGCCAGTGATTCATCGAAGTTCTATATATATGTAGTTATATACAGGCTCGCGCGCGAAGATAATCATGGGTCGTCGATCTCATTTCCGTCTCCGGAGAACCAAAAAACAGAGTCCAATCCGAATTGACACCGCAGCAATCAGATCTCCCACCATTTCATGGAATCTAACGCCAAATCTGCTGCCGCAGCTGCCGTCCTCACCGGTCGTCAGGTCGGGTGCTACCTCGCCAGGGAACGCCGCAATCAAGAACTCAAATCGTACACAAAAATGCACCTCATGAACCTTCAGCTTTGGACATGACCGAAAGCCTACTCGGCCTCGGCTGGAAATCTGCCCGCCTCCTTTGCTGATGCGACGACGGGCGAATCAACGCCGACAAGGCTCTCTTCACCAGATCTCCCTCAACGCCGCCGATTCGCACAAGAGAGTTCGTCATCGCTGATCTACGCGCGTTGAGCCTGTTCGGAGAGTACGGACCCACCGAGCGGGAGGCAAAGCCCTTGTGAAGGCTGCATCGAAAGGATCCAGGATGCGTGGTCGGGGAGCACATGCAGGTTCGCTTCTGATGGCTCGGTTTCTGAACCACTTGGCTAGCGTTGCTGGAGCCGGATCGAGGAGTGACAGAGATTGACCTCTTCGGAGAGATGGAACGTTCCACAGAGAACCGAACGGAAGGAGCAGAGCTACCAGATGAACCACAGAGTTTGACACTTGTGGGAGAGGTCGAACGGGGGAAGAAGGTTGTGGAGCGAGAAGAAAAGCTTGAGCTAGATGAAGCAAAAGCAGTGGAGGAACAGGAAGGCGAAGAATAGCGAGAATTGCAGAATCTGCCGGAAGGAGAGAGAGATCGGAGAACTGGTCCGCGTGATCTTCTAGTAGATGCCGCCATTTTCACAGATCCTTTTGTTGTTGCAGAAGAGAGAGAAAATGAATAGGAATAGTGAGAATAGATACTAGAGAGAGATCGAAAGGGAAAGAGCAGGCACTTTCCTCTTCTTTTTTCCTAATAAGCCGGGATCGGCTCCCTGGTTTGGCAAACCTAGCTTTACTCAAGCTATGTATTTATAAGATTTTGAAGTCGAGGGAATCTGAACCAGAGAACTCGGATAAAGTAAAACCAGGAGAGAGAACCAAAACCGGGTTAGGGTTTGGGATATTTGTGATTGGGGTATTTACTTCTCAGTATTGCACTTATGCCTCCGATATGCTTTTTCTTTCATGCATGCACCTTTTTTTTCAAAGGTCTGTTCTTTTTTTTTTTTGGGTAAAGAAAGGTTTGCTTATTAGTTTAAATATTTAAGATTTTTATCAACACAATTCGATTTTTTATTTATAAATTTTGTGAAAATAATATACATTGAAAAATACTTAAATTTGTATTATATAGTTATTGCTCTATTTTTATTTATAAATTATTTTTAACATATTTTATTAAAGCTTTAGAATTCATTAACTCCAATCTAAAAATTTGATGAATTTTTAAATTTGTTCCTGTCAAATATATATAATTTAAAAATTACTTCTTTCAATTCTTATCATAAACAACTAATAACAATTTTATATGAATTAGTTAAAATTAACTATTTCTAACAAAATATTAAAATTAGCCTTTATAAAAATTGTTATTTAGGAGAGTTTGATTAATTAACTCAAAAATCTTATAATTAGTCAGGAATACCATGTGAAAACAAAAATTAATATTTTAAAGAAGATATATTATAATACGAAATATGTTAGATTTATTTATAACAAGGACCAGAAATAGTAAATACACTAACATTTATTGAGATGTTAAGAAAAAAGAACTAGTGATAAAATAATGGCATGCTTTATAATTTTTGCTTACTGTGCCTTATAGGAAAAACCACAATGATATATTTTTTCAAGACAATTTATTTTAAAATTTTCAATATCTATGAACATAATCATATCAATTGTTATTCTCTTTATTTTTGATTTACGAAATCAATCACTTAAATACGGAAAAATAGAAGGAATAAAGAGAAAAGGAGATATACGTAAAGAAGAGGGGCATGGCAGCAAAAAGAGGAAAAGTGAAGCAAGGAGGTTAATATATCAAGGGAGAGAGAGTGGGTTGGGTTGGGTGGACCAAAGCGTAAAGAATGGGTAGGGTTTTGTAACGGCACTTGAGTAAGAAGAAAGCTGTGGGCTGGGGCACCTATAATCCAGAAAACGACAATTGAAGTGAACCGTTTTAAGATTATTATGTGACAGCCTGACATATACGCCCTCTCTATCCTTGCCACGTTAGGCGCCTACTCTAATGACGCATCCTCTCACTAATTTCCACGTACAGTGACATGTCTATGCCTTTATCCGCTCCCGCTTTCTCATTCTCCCAAAATACCCTTCTCTTTCTTCTTATTCTCTTCCCCACCCTCGTCCTGGACTGCTGCTTATCTTCTTCTTCTTTTTTTTTTTTTTGTCAAAAACATGGGTCTTATCTAGAAAAACGTTTAAAATAATTTTTTTTCCATATACTTATATCATATTTTATAAATTAAAATTAAAACATTATTTATAAATTACTCTAAACAAGCCTATTATAACTTAAGAAGCCGGATGATACTTATAAGTTAAAAAGTTACTCCTCTGGTCCTAATTATAAGACCCAATTGACTTATTTAAGGAGATTAAGGAAGTAAGTTAAGTTGGTTATTTATAATAAATAAATGTTGTCATTCCTAAAATATCCTTGTTAATTAAGTATATTGGCTAAAACTATCATTATTAGAAGGATTATCTTGAAAAAAAATACATAAATATAAGAGACAAAATAGATTGGGGTCTTATAATAAGGATCGGAGGAGTATAATACAATCTACATAAATAATTAGTAAAAAAACAAAAGAGTACTACTCGAATATTTAATATAAATTATTGGCAGCATTTTTCGCATATAAAAAATATATTAAATTGATAAGATTTTTTAATTTTATTCTTATTAAATTTTTTTATATTTATAAATCATTCTCACATCACTTTTATTTTTCTCTCTTTCAGCAAGAATTAAATAAAAATAAAAATTAAAAAATAGATATATTATAAGTGACTTACGTTCACCACAAAACTTTTCTTTTTCTCTATAAATGAATTATATTAAGGAGCAGGAATTGTTTAACGTTTTACCATGAAAATTAGTTTAAAAAAATCAATAAGTAATGTAAATTTAGTAAATTATTACGAGATTTTTCTCTTCCCCCTCTAATTTTTATGTGATTGCATTATATTCAAAAAAAATTTTAATTTTTTTAATCCACAATCACACATTAATTATATATTAGAGCAGAATTAGATGTTAAAAATTATTGATTATCCATTAATATCATAAAAACATAATTAATTAGAGTAGTATGATATAAACACTACAATAAACTTCATGTGAAAAAAAAGTTTAAATAATATGACCCTTTTTTTTTTTTTGACGTTTCTGTTTTCCAGGGACTGAACCATACGACGAACAGAAGCAAAACGACACGTCGTGCCCATTCTTCTTTGATTTGACAAATCTCACATTATGGGCCCCACATATTAAAAAGAAAAGAAAATACAAATATTTATCCAGAATTTTTATGTGGAAAATCTCACTTAAAATCTGGTTTTGAACCCATAATTTGTCTCAATTTAAAACACCAAAGCACATCCGTACTTGCTTGGCACGTGCATTTCAAATACAATTCTCATTTAATATATCTTTGTTAATCAAACACTGTGAAAGTTTCTTCAAATTTTTGTTAATTTCTTTGTAAAATTTTTGGTGAATTCACACTGTAAAAAATATTCATTTTTTCAATCTATAAAATTTTTTCAATATTTAGTTTTTTTTTCAAATCTATATAATGAAATGCACACTAATTCAGAGATATTTATAGAGTAGTTTTCCCAACAAATTATTATCTCCAACACAGATCCATTTCAAATAATAATAAATAAATAAATAAACGAAACATCAATGGTTTCTTTGTAGAGCCCTGTGTGGCTATATAATCCTAACAAGTAGAAACCAATCCCATCAAGAGTTGAACAATATTATTGGTGCCACGTTCCATTAATAAAGTGCAACTTGTGAAAAGTATTCCTAATTGCTTCACATAATTAAGTTAGGTCCATGGTGATGATATAACTATCAGCTTTGAAGGTCCATGTATTTATATTTTAAAAATTTAATATAACAATGACTTGAAATTAATCCATCAATCTATACTCCTTCATACGTTCCCACATGCAATGCCTAGCCATCTAATATTTAAATATACTCTCTCTAGTCGTTTTCATAAGATGCAAATTCAATAATTAAACTATGTATATAAAAAAACTTATTAGGCGATAAATATGTAAGAAAACGTTATTTATTTTTCAAAAACACTCTTATTATCGAGAGTGAGTGAAAAATTGACCAATAATTAATGCAGTGTACTAATCATTAATTAAACGACTCAAATATTAAAAAAAAATACTAAAATTTTTTAGACAGTATTAATATCTTTTATGAATAAAAACAAATTATTTTTATCAAAATTTTCTTATATGTGAAATCAGAAGGAGTGTTTGGTCATCAAAGCCAATAGCTGCCCCACACACACACATAATATCATGTCTTTCCGAATTCAAGTTGTTCCATTTTAATCTCATTATTCTTAATTCTTTGCCTTCAATCAAGCTAAGTAGTCGCTTTGTTGATTAGACATATGGATGCAGTTTTAGCAATTTTGTTTAAAAGATAATATAAATAAAGTTTAGCGTATATCATGGTGTCTTCCTCTGTGTTAACATTTTATTTGAGATGAGGCTAATAATTTTGTAAGATGGACTGTTTTTCTTGCCTTTAATAAGGTTACTATGCGATCAATATTTAGTTATTTACAACTACAATATATATATAATTGAAGCGTAGTTAATTCTACGATTATGAAAATCATAAATTTTCAAAATAAATATATCTATTTATGAGATAAACAAAATAAATAAACAGATTAAGCGAAATTTTGAAAAAAAATCATTAAAATTTTATTAGTGAGAATAATCTAAATCAAAATATTGATATTTTGTGCGTATAAAATTTATTAAGCTATTCTCGCTAATTAATAAATTTTTTAATATGTGACTTTTCACTCAATTTTTCAATGAATGGGTGGATAGATGGATAAATAATTAGATATACAACATAAATATTGTAAACTATCTTATTTAAATATATATGTTGATGCATACGTTTCTGTACTATTATCTGCATATTATATTTATTTATTTATTTATGAGATAGAACAAGCGCGAAGGCGCCTTCAGAATTATTCATAAAATATAGTTGTATCCCTTATCACTTGAAATGGAAGAGAAAATATTTTTTTAATTTTTAATATAAGTTAAATTTGTTAATATAGAATTGAACAATCTTGCGATGGCAGTTAGTTCAGATTATGAAAGTTCTGAAATTCGAAAACTCCTGTGTGGGAACGAAAAATACTATGCGAAAGTTATATTGTGTTCCGGGTCCGGCAATATAATATTCGACTTCGAATAATTTATACTAGTATTAAATAAAACAAATACATAAATAATCTAATAATACCTTGGAGGAGTTAACTATGGGGAGAATTTCCAATAACAAGTGAGTAGTTATTACCTTAAAACTTGTTATTGTGAGCTGCTTTATTATCACTTGAACTTTATTGTAATTATTTTCATTACTTGGAACTTTATAACAATTCTCCTTTAATTACGTGTTGTGGGCCTATATAATAATAATAGAAAATTATTATTATTATTATTTGTGATTAATATTAGCCATCAAAACTGATAAGAATGATATTTATTTTGTAAGGTGGAAAAGAAAATAGAAAGAAACTGAGCAAGTTGATGGGACGAATTGAATAGTATTGATCGACGCCACCTATATGAATTAATCTGAATATCATTATCCGCCAACTGTTTATCTTGTGATTTGAAAAAAAATTAGGGAAAAAAAGGAACTGCCAACTGTTATAACTGTTTGTAAATTTTATGAATTGAATGGATTGCAAAGAAATATTT